CCGCCTGCGCGTGCGCCCGCCGGGCGCGGTCGCGGCGGGCGAGGTCGTGGCCGCGGTGGACGTCCGCGCAGCGGTGCTCGCGCTGCGGCGGCAGCGGAGGGGCATGGTGCAGACGGCAGCGCAGTACGAAATGGTGTACCGCGTACTGCTGGATGAGCTGCGGGCCGGCGTCGATGACGCGCGGATGATGGCGGCACTGGACGCGCCGCCAGAGGCGCGGGGGCAGCACTGAGGGGCCGCGCTGCCCCTCCTTGCACTCGCGTTCGCCTGCCGTGGCCGCGGCATGGGCTGGGCACGCCGTTGCAGACAGGCTTGGATTTGTCAGGGCGGCGGTGCCTGGCGTGAGGCTTTCAGTCGTGTTTTGGGCTTGACCATAGACGAGAGACACGGCGAGCCACTTTGTGCACGCTTTGTTGGCCAATGCTTCGCCCGCTCCCGCGGCAGTGGCAGGACTTCGGGCGCGGCGCCGCGCGCGCAGGTGTCGTGCGCAAGCGACGCCCCCGTTTGGCGTCGCCGCCGCCCCCGCGTCGCCTTTCATGCCTGGCACGGCTCACTTTCCCGGCCCTGGCTTTGCAGGTTTGGGATCCCTAGTTTTGAAATCCCCAGGTTTGGAATCCCCTGTTTCACAAGAACTTGCAAGGGCTCCGCCCCAACCACACGCACGTGCACGCCGCCCCCGGCCGCCGCCACCGCCGCGCGCTCGCTGCCGCCGCCGCCGCGGCCCCGGCGGCGGCCTGGGGTGTACACTGAAATGGCGCGTCGCTTCTTATTCGTGCACTGGGGATGCACGCCGACCGCTCGCGACACAAGCACTGACAGAGGCACGAGCGCCGGGCCCTTGGGCCCCGCCGAAACCTGGCCCCCGCGCCCTGCCCCTCTTGCCAACGCGTCAAGCGCACGGGCAAGCACAGCGCAGCCCCGCCCGGTTGCCGCCTTGAAACGAGGCCAGTGTGACCACTGCAGCCACAGCACCTCCGATGACGATTTGGTTGGGGTTCCGTCATACACACGCAATGATCCCGCACTGCTCGTTATCTCCTCGCGATTCGTTGAGCATGCCCCCGGCGGCGTTTTGCGGGCCCCGCAGCAGTCGCCGCGCCACCAATACCGCCCCCAACACACAATTGGTCAGCCCGCGTCGCGCATCGTCGTATTCGTCCTAGATCGCACGAGATTCGTGTTGGTTTGAGTGATGCCCTACGTCAAGCAAATTGTTGCACGCATGGGTGACCCTCTGACGGGGTTTCAATCCCCGCCACTCTCGCGCATCACACGAGCGACTGTCACGCGCTACTTTGAGGGCACGCGAGCCGACGCGCCGCGCGCTTGGCGAACGCGCCGGCACGCGCCGGGCGCGAAGTGCAACACGGCGCTGCACCAGCGCCTAGGGTTTGCGGCGTGGCAGGCCAGGCCGCTCGACCACTGCCCAGCTGCGCGAGCCTCCGCACGCCCGCTCACGCGTTTGGCCCTGGTTGGTTGCAGCGGCGGCGTTTGGCGCGACTTGGCAGGCAGCTTCTGCTCTGTCGGCGTGCTCGATACCCATCAAGGCCTGCTCGCTTGTTTGCTTGGCATCACTGCGGCCTCGCTCTGGAAATGTTTTTTTTTCGTTTTTTTCGCATCCAGCTGGTCATTGTGCCGCACCCCTTCCCATCCTCTTTACATGCATGTATTCAAACCCATCGTCTTCCTGTCTGTTGGGTCGACCAGCTTGGGGAGTAGCACTGCACGCGCACCGTCAACGCAACCCGGCACGTGCGCTCGTAGGTGCCGCTCATCGAAGCGCCCAAGGGTCGTGTTGGTGTTTCCCTTGCCCCGTCTCGCCGCGCAAAGCTTGTTTTCTGTCCTCTCAACCCATTGCACCATTTGGTTTGCTGTGCCATGGAACATCCTCCAAAAGGGGAGCCAGCTTGATGTCACTCATGAATAAAGGCACACACGCTCACACGTGTACACACACACACACACATACACACTCTTTCTAATCATGCACTTTACCTACTTATCACACACACACACACACACACACACTTGCATGCTGCGCCGCCAAGCCCGACAGTGCTCGGGCCGCGCCCGCATCCCAAAAGCATATGCACTGCAACCACATGCATCTCATCCCCTGTAATGCCACGTTCACCCCTTGGCAGTTCGCTTTGCAGAGCCCCATCCCGGCTGCTCTCCAGGGCTCAGGGGCTGCGCGGGGTCGCAGCGCCAGCCGCCTGCTGGGCGAGAGGCGCGGCGTGACGTGCCAGCACCCGGGCATCAGCCGGCCTGCTGTCGTTGCTGTGCTGGCCTGCACACATGGATGCCAGAAGGCAGGCGGACAGAACACCGCTGTTACATACATGGCAGGAAGGTAGCAGAGCCCCGGCAAAGGACGGCCGAATTTTCCAAATTCAGTGGGTTGGGCAGACTCGGCGCACATCTAAACAAATAGTGCTGTCGTCATCGGTCGTGCTCCTGGCAGAGTCCGCGGCCGGCCGCGCCGTGCATCCCGCGTGCAGGCTGCTGGCGGCGCGCACGCCCGCGCCAGTCGGCTGGCCGGAAGGCGGGCGGGTGCTGTAAATGCATGAGTCACCCCCTGCCTGAGGAATTTGTCAGCCGTCGTTCCGTAAACGCCCTCACCGCTTGCATTGTCCCATATGAAAACGTTGGCTGCAAAGGGGCCAAGCAGGCTGACTTGCAGCAAATTAATCTGTGCTTGCGCGGGCAACACCAGCCAGGCGCTGGTCAGCGTACAGCGGGCTTGTCAATTGAGAGCGCAGCTGACATCAAAGTGTGGCGCCGAAAGCAACTGTGGGAGGAAGCGCGGGCGTTGGACATCGGCGGACCATACCAAAAGGGGGCACCCAGGAGGCACACGCGAGCGCGCAGGTAACTGCGCGTCTGCGAAAATGCGCCGCCACAGGTCCGTTCGCCTTGGGTGTCCAACTGCGCCCGGCTGAACGCAGCGCCAACCCTGCAGCTCGGCCGCACGCGCTGCCCCAGCCCTGCAAGCGCCGCAGCGGCCCCGGGCGGCACAAGGGTTGGGTGCGTCTGCCGGCCCCGGCGGCGGGCTGCGGCTGCAGGCAGTCCTGTGGGGCTGCGGCTGCTGCCGGCCTCGTCACTTGGCGGCAAGGAGCTTCACAAAGTCCTCAAACCTTGATATGGAGGAGCGGGGGCCGGTAGCAAGAGGGATGACCGGTCAGATGGCTGGCAGGTGGACGCGTACCGTTGCCGTGCTCAGAGGAGCGGACTCGCCACGAGGAGGCCCCCAGCAGCCGCAAAACCGCCGCACCGTCACCATTTGCTTTTACCCCCAGGACCACCAGGATCATCAGAGACCAAAAGAGACGACAGATCCGCCCCAACCCTGCACCCTGGACTTTAGGTCGGCACAGCAAACAAACACCCACTTGATCTTGCCGCCAGCATCTGGGTTGGCCTCCGCCAGTAGGGCGTCCATCTCCCCGGGCGCCAGCCGCTCGCCTATGCTGGTGAGCACGTGCCGCAGCTCGTCCGCGCTGATCCAGCCGCGCCCCTCCTTGTCAAATACCTGGGGTTGTGTGTGTGAGAGTGTGTGTGTGTGTGTGTGTGTGCGCGCGCGGGTGTGTGCGCGCAGGCGTGTGTAACAGAGAGAGAAGGAGAGAGGGATCGCTTGTGCGTGTGCGCGCTTGAACGTGCATACACCAAGAACCATTGACACACGTGAGCAAATCCAGGGTCAGGGCATGAGGAAAGTGAGCTCGCGCGCGCGCACATGAGGACAGGCCCAAGCAGCCAGCGCGCGGCATGGCAGCCCCCAGGCCAAGCAGCTGCATGGCGGCTGCTGGGCGGGCTGGCGGCACGCGACAGACCGCCTGAGGGGGCGCGTCCCTCCGCCCTGCCTTGTCCCTACCCAGAAACAAACCAGAAACAATGACTCGAGGTTCCTCAACACGGGGATCAGCCAAACAAACCCATGCGCACACCTTCCAGGCGGCGGCGATGTCGGCCTCGCTGTCATGCGTGGGGATGTCCTTCGCCATGACGCCAGTGAACTCTGGAGGGAGGAAGCAAGACGATGTCAGGATAGACAAGATGGGACTCTACTCGACAATGCCCAGCCTGTCTAGCCCCAGCTTCCCCCTCTTGCGCACCCCTACGCACCCCAGCCGCGCAGGGCGTTGGAAAAGCGGCGGCGCGGGCAGCCGGAGCCTCGGTCCCTCGGCCCCAGCCGCTCCCTCGACCCCTGCCGCTGCCTCCGTTCGGCACGGGTCAGCCGGCAAACCCAACCCTGCTGCCAACGGCAAACCGGAAGCCGCGAGCAGCCCCTCGGCCCGGTGCGCCGCGCGGCGCTTGCCTTGCAGGGTGATGCTGCCGCGGCCGTCAGGGTCCACTTCCTTTGCGAGCTGCCTGACCTGCGCCTCCGTGGGGTTGCGGCCCAGCGCTCGCATGACCGTGCCCAGCTCGCCGATGGCGAGGTAGCCGTCGTTGTCCTGCGCATGGGCCGCGCATGTGGGCGTGCATGGGCGAGCAGGGGCAGGGAGGTGGCTCAATGGTTAGGGGTGCATGAGCAGAGCGCAGCGCGCTGCAACATCGGGCGCAGTGAAGGCAAGAGCACCAGAGTAGTCACGCAGGGCGAATGGGCCCTCGAGATGCGGCGGCGCTTGCTTTTGAAAAGCAGCACATGTGCAGCAGCAGGTGCGCCGCCTGCAGCACGAGCAGCGACATGCGTGTTTGCGCGTGAGCGCAGCCCCCAGCGGTGGTCCACCTGGTCGAACAAAGCAAATGCCTCCTTTATATCCGCTATCTTCTGGTCGCTGAGCGCCATGGCTGAAAGCTCCGGGGGATGGCCGCGCAACAACCGATCTCCAGCGGGGACTTGACTTGCCTGCAGGACAATTGCGCAAATTTGCTTTTGTATGACCCGTCCCTACGACGATGGTAGTGGCGGCCCGCGGGAATGTTGCTGAAGCTGCGAAGAAGCCAGGGCAACAACCGTCCCAAGTCGAGCACCGCAAGCCACCAGGTGGTCGACAGGCTCTGCAGGGAGCATGCAGGAGGCCAGCATCTGGAGAGCCCTTACTGCTGCAGACGCGTTGCAGTGCAGGACTGCTGCAGTAATTGCTGCGCACGGCTTGCCTCGAGGGCCTTTCCCTTCGTGGCCAGCTAGACAGCCAAGGCTATCGCGCTGCGCCTGGAGCCCGGCACCAAAGCTAAGGCCTGCTCGATCAGCGCATGTAGGATGATGTCTTGACACCCAGGGCTTCTGTACGTGGGGCGCTGTGTCTGGTTTCGCTCCGTGGAACGGCCAGCAGCAATGGCACCTTGAATGCACAGTTGGCACCCAGTCCGATACCGACGGTACCCTGAACAAACACGTGAAGTAGCAGGCTGAATGGTTATGCTTGAACACCTCCGTGGACGAAATTGTATGCGGTGCGCACGCTTGCCTTGACAAATCATACCCCCCCCTGCCAAACCCAGCCATTGTGCGTGCTGGCGCTGGAGTCAATTGCGATGTGTGAGTGGGTTCAACGAACCAAGCAGGACACACCAAGCATGGCACATGTTGCAAGCTGCCAGTGCTGGTCCCCCTAATTGTGGCGGGCTGCCAGCGCTCAGCACTCGGCCGCTGCCGGCAGTGCTGGGCTACCAAAACAGCAGTCAGGCAGATCCACGGGCCAGGCTTCAATACTCATACGTTGTGTGCAGAATCTTGCCGTCTTGCATGTGCGGGCATCGGGCTGAACGGGCGCTGGGGGTCGCACCAGCGTATTGTATTGTGGCTAGCGTATTGCACCAGCAGCTGCAACATTTGAGGATGCTGCGGCAGTCAGCTAACGACTCCTCAATAACCGCCAGCTGCGGAAGGCCTTCATCGCCAAGGCCAGTCAAGCTGCACACGTTTGCGGCTCGCCGCTGCCTGGGGCATGCCACTGCTTGGTTGTACTGGATCCTCAAGCTCTTGGTGAGACGTGCGACAAGGCGGGAATTTAGCCCTAGCTGGAACTCAGTTTTGAACAAGCTCTTTCCTGCGAACAGCCGCACAAGTCTTATTTTGCAGTGCCGCGCCTCCTGTGTCGCACGCCCTTTGCGGCAATGTGGCTGGAAGTGTGGCGTTTGCGATGGCAGTGGGGCATCTATCGTGGACTGCTCGTGACATGTCGAAGGCACATAGCCATCGTATGGGCATTGCACAAGCATATGCACACCGCATGATGTCTCTGCGGTCAAGCCATATCTGACTGACGCATAGGCATGCCCATGAATGGCTGGCCGAGGCAGTCCCAGGGGCTGTCTATAGACGCCCGCTGCGACATGTGCAGCACTCCGGCGACTTGCGTTGCGCCAAATCATTTTGGATTGCATCAACCACGGCCAGTCACAAGCACTTCTGGAAGGGCTTCGGATGCTCAACCATCTGCCTGGAAACAGTGCAATGCAAGATCCAGCAGCATGGTCGGGTGGGCAGCAACTCAGCAACATGAAATCCCGCAAATTACTGACTGCAAGGCTGTGCCCGCGCGCCAGCACGGGCAGCGCCACCGCACGTCAAGAACGAATGTTCTTAGCGAGTTCTTCAGTACATGGAGCCGAGGCGCTTTGACTCAGAGTTGCCCCGTTATTTGGGCCCTGTGTAGATCCTTTGGTGATGCGGTTTTGGCGCAAACTTGATCGAATTTTGAAACCGTGAAATAAAAGGATACCTCAACTACCTTGGAGTCGTAGTCGGCCGTTTGAAACCGTGAAATGCATATTCAGCTGTGCGCATCATGGAATAAGACATCCCTGTCACACCCGATCTGATTCATCACTAGAACGGGCCGGCGGGTGTTTGACGGGTGGTGAGCTCACAAAGCTTGCAGGTCCCTTTCTCTTGGCTTTCACACCTATCGATTAATTTGCTGACATTTGGGGAGGCGAGTGCCTCTGAGGCTTGCCATGGCCGCTCCGGTGATCACATCTCGGAGGGTGGAAGAGGTCAAGGACGCTATAGACAGCTACGAGGTAATTTTTCGAAGGAGCGCGCCCAATAATGGCCACCGCGGAACGGCTTGCGACTTCGCTAGCGCTGGATGCTCCTTGCCACTGGACAACCGGCCGTGCAACGTCCGACATGAATATCAGAACTTTGAATCATTGAAGCCTGATCGAGCGCTCCTGCACCATGAAGTCCCATTGCAGCTGACGGTGGTGGTGCTGCCCACCGCAGGGAGCCTGTTGGGTGCTGCAGCGAATCGCCTTCGTCACCCTGCCAAAGGGGTGCGGCTGCTGCGCAGTCATTCAAAAGAAAGCAAACGAGTTCCCAGGCACCATCGACATCCCCATCGCAGGGCTTGGACTGCGACGTCGTGCCATCCCGCCCCAGCTGACCACGACGCCGCCGCCCACCCTTGCCACCCTCGCACCCCAACCTGACCCTTTGCCTGCCGCAGGCCTACCATACCACGCATGGCGGCGAAGTCGAGGAGCGCAAGGCCAAGTACGCCGACATGGTCAACAATTACTACGTGGGTGACTGCGATGACTAGTTTGTCGGTCGTGTGCGTTGATCGGCCGCGAGCCGGCAGCCTGTCGCGGGCTGGCTGATGGGCTGGTGGCCCTCTCCATTTGCTGCCAGCGCTTCAAATTCAGGATGTGTGCGATCGAGGAAGCATTCTGCCATGCAGTCAACGTGCTGAGGGAGCCGTGGGTGGGGAGTCGCAGCAATGTTGAGCTGGAGCAAGGCTGAGGGAGCGCTGCTGCAGGGGCGAGCACGCTGGGATGCGCTGTGCGACAGGCTCCATGCGGCCGGCGTTGATGATTGACCGTCACTCGATCAACAACTAATCTTTGATGCTCTGTGCTGTGCTGTGCTGTGCTGTGCTGTGCTGTGCTGTGCTGTGCTGTGCTGTGCTGTGCCGTGCGGTGCTGTGCTGTGCTGTGCTGTGC